GATCCCAGGACCTTAGTATCATGACCTGAGCCGAAGGCAGCCGCTTAACCAGCTGAGCCACCCAGGCATCCTCATTTATTTATTTTTTAAAGATTTCATATATCAGTGAGAGAGAGAGTGTGCACGCACCTGAGTGGAGGGAGGGGCAAAGGGAGAAGGACAAGCAAACTTTCCACTGAGCACAGAGCCTATTGCAGGGCTCAAGCCCGGGACCCAAGATCATAATCTCAGCTGAAGCCAGATGCATAACTGACTGAGCCACCCAGGTGCCCCTGTTTTTGTTTTTGTTTTTTAAGATTTTATTTTTAAGTAATCTCTATACCCAATGGGGGGCTCAAACGCACAACCCCAAGATCAAGAGGCATGTTCCACCAACTAAGCCAGCCAGGTGCCCCCTCAGGTTTTTAAAAGACAGTAAACACACATACTTACTGCTGTAATTTGCATTGGTCAATAGGAGTTTCTATTTTGGAATGAAAAAGTAGTGTTCTTATGATCTTCAGCCTTTTCAGGAAGTTGGTGTGGTACCTCTCTTCAATGAAATGAGAAGAGTAACATTTCATGACTACTTATGAAGGAAGAGAGCGGGTCAGCTGTTAATCTGAGAAGGTCATTTTCTCATTCTGGCCAGGGGAGTATACACCTAAAATAGAAAGAGACTGAAAGAAGAAAACAGATACTTTGTAGCAAGTCAATTATTTTAAAATCCATCTTGGCACTTGACTTATAATTGTATAGCACCATCATCATCAAGAAATAATACTACTAGTATTTATTAGTTGTATTTTTGTCTTTTTTGGCAGAAGGGAAAAATGTTTTAGACTGGTAAACCATGACTGAATTACGAGGTAGGGTCTGCCTGCCCTGGTTTGAATTCTGGCTCTATCATGTACTAGCTGTGTTACCCTGAGTAAGTTTCTAACCTTTCCTGCTGCTTAGTTTCTTTATCTTCAAATGGGGATGAAGACAGTACTTACCTTTAGGTTGTCCTGAAGATTAAATGTTAGATACTTAGAAAAGTACTTGGTGCCTAGTAAGTACAGTATAATTTTGGACTGGTGCTGATACTATAGAAGGTAAGAACCAGAGAAGTTTCCTTTTGTTGCATGTTTGAGTGACTGGACTGAGTTGGTGAGAAGTAACAGGAGAGAGGAACCATGTGAAAGCAAATTCTGGTTCTAGCCATGACACTTACTGGCACATCCCTCCCCCTGTAATCTGTCATAAATCACCAGGACAAAGCAGAGGTGGTGAATGGGAACATTTGGGTTGTCAAATTAGGATACTGATGTAGATGCCAGAACACTTACTGCTTGTTGTCAGGCTCTGGATTAAACACCAAAAATATACTTATTTTACCCCCTGGTTCAAGCATTCAAAATAAAAGATGATCTTAGAAGGGCACCTGGGTGGCTCAGTTGGTTAAGCATCTGACTCTTGATCTCAGCTCAGGTCTTGATCTCAGGGTCAGGAGTTCAAGCCCCGCTCTGGGCTCCTTGTTGGGTATGGAGCCCACTGAAAAAAAAATTATCTTAGAAACTTGTAGTTTGTCAGCTTATTCAGAACAATCCCACAAATCCAGTTTTTCCATGACTACAGTAAGAGGATGCTTAGAGTATTAGTTAGCTATACCAGTTAGAACAGTGAGCAGATTACCTTTGAAAATATGGTTCTCATATCAATTCCTAAGAATCAGTACTTGTGTAGCTTATAGAGGAAATGGTGACAGTTTGGGAGTAACCTCCAGTTCAGTTTTCTAGTCATTTTTGCATTTCAGACATACATTTCCCATTAAGAAGAAAGGGACAGATTTTGTCTTTAGTGCTTAGGAATACTGGCAGTCAGTCTTTTCATGTAATAAAAGTTCCCATGATGACAACTTTGAATTGAAAGCACAAAGAGGTGGAAGAGACCTAGGGAAGGTGGGTATTTGGCTATTCTTGAATGTTTTTTCTCCGTTGAACCAAACTCATGTGTCTACTTCTGCCCTGTTAGGAGCTCTTGTCTCTGGCAAAGCGGAAGCGAAGTGACTCTGAGGAGAAGGAGCCACCTGTGAGTCAGCCTGCAGCCTCCTCAGACTCTGAGACATCCAACAGTGATGACGAGGTGGGTGTGGAGGGGCTCGGCCCCAGGGACTGCGTGGTATTTGAGGGCCCTGAGATGGTGACTCCTGACAGCCTCTTTTCCTTAAACGGAGACCATACTGCCTAAGATCTACCAGAACTTCTTAGGGAAAGAAAATTGTGTAAGGAAAGCTCTCGAATTGTCATGTGTCCTTGTGCTGTCAGTTACCTAGTGGGCCCCTCTGCAGGGCACTTGGCGGTCATCGTTTAGTGGCTTGTTTCCAGCCCTGTTGCAAAAGAAGAGGCACAACCTGTTAGTCTTCATCTCTTTATTTTATCTATTTTTTGTCATTGTTTTCATTCCACTCTCATGTTAGAAAAGAAATTCTGGGGGCTCCTGGGTGGCTCAGTCAGTTAAGCATCAGACTCTTGATTTCAGCTCAGGTCATGATCTCAGGGCTGTGAGATCGATCCCGCTGTTGGGCTCTGTGCTCAGCAAGGGGTCTGCATGAAGATTCTCTCCCTCTGCCCCTCCCCCCACTCATGTGCAAGTACTCTCTCAAATAAATAAAGAAATCTTAAAAATAAAAGAGAGAGGGCACCTGGGTGGCTCAGTCGTTAAGCATCTGCCTTCTGCTCAGGTCATGATCCCAGGGTCCTGGGATCAAGCCCCACATGGGGCTCCCTGCTCAGTGGGAAGCCTGCTTCTCCCTCTCCCACTCCCCCTGCTTGTGTTCCCTCTCTCGCTGTGTCACTCTCTGTCAAATAAATAAGTAAAATCTTAAAAAAAAAGAGAGAATGCCGTATGTTCGGGTGCCTGGCTGACTCAGTCAGTGGAGCATGCAACTCTTGATCTTAGGGTCCTGAGTTGAAGCCCCCCCCACATTGGGTATGGCTTAAAAAATAAATAAAATATTAAAAAAAAAAAAAGAATGCCGTATGTTAGTGGGAAATACTTTAGCAAGGCAAGAGGCTTTCTTTGGATAGATTGAATCAACAGCCTCAGGGTGATGGTAATTTTTTTTTTTAATTAAAGGTTTTTATTTATTTATTTGACAGAGAGAGACAGCAAGAGAGGGAACACAAGCAGGGGGAGTGAGAGAGGGAGAAGCAGGCTTCTGGTGAGCAGGGAGCCTGATATGGGGCTCGATCCCAGAACCCTGGGATCAGGACCTGAGCCGAAGGCAGACGTTTGACGACTGAGCCACCCAGGCGCCCCAATGGTGGTAATTTTTAAGGAGGAATATTCAGCTGTTCATTATTTAAACCAAGGTGACTTTCCCAAACTGCCCACCACCAAACAAGATTGTAAAAGATCTATAACCTTAATGGAAGAGAGGGATGAGGGGAAAGGTCTTTGAAGCCCTCCTACGTGTTCCTCATTTGATTTAAAATACTTTTTTTCCTTTAGTAATTTCCTGGAGAGAGGCCAGATACCACCTTTCTGTTGAAGCTCCTACCCTGCAGTCTTTGGGAGTGGGGTGGGAATAGATAGATAGATAGATAGATAGATAGATAGATAGATAGATAGGGGAGTCCCCCTCGGGGCTTGAACTCACCAACCCTGAGATCAAGACCCAAGCTGAGATCGAGTCAGACACTTAACCGACTGAACCACACAGGTGCCCCTAGGAAAATATTTTTAACAGTGTATTTATTTTGTTTTAAAGTTCCACCAAAAAAATAAAAAAATAAAAAAAAATAAAGTTCCACTAAAGTAAAAAATGTTTTTATTATAATGAAATTTAATTAACATCTAGAATAATCTTTACCAGTGCCCTGCATATGCAAATTAGGAGTGATTATATTCTGATTGACTGTAGTGACGTTCTCTTAATCTTAAATAATTTAATCTAAAATTGCTTTCCATAGCAAGAGGTAGTGAAAATGTGGGTTTTTGGGCGCCTGGGTGGCTCAGTTGGTTAAGCGACTGCCTTCGGCTCAGGTCATGATCCCGGAGTCCTGGGATCGAGTCCCACAT